ATCGGTGCCCAATAACCTACTGCATGAGCAGCCAATTAACACACACATGAGAGCACAATTAATTTACATATGAGCACCCAGGTGGATTTATGCATGGGTGCCCAGTTAATTCACACTGCTCCATGCATGGGTGCCCAGTTGGTTGATGCATGGGTGCCCAATTAATTGGTGAATGTGCCTCCAATCAGTTCATGCCCGAGTGTCCAGTTAATTTATGCATGAGCACCTGAGCCATTCACAATTAGTGAATGCATGTGCACAAGTGGGTTTTTTACTAATTACACTAATTTGCGCACGAGTGCCCAATTAGCCCACGCAGCAGTGCCCAGCGACGCGTGACTACTCAATCAGTCCGTGCATGAGTGCCCCACAAATTCATGAATGGCCACAAAAATTGCTGCATGAGTCCCCAGCTGGTTCATGCATGAGTGTTCCTTTCACTCATGCCTCAGCACCCCGGGCAGTTCATGCATGACCACCCAATTAGTTCACCTAGAAGCACCCACATAATTAATGCACGAGCACCCGGTTAGTCCACACATGATCCCCCAATGTATTTTTGCATGATTGCCCTGCTGGCTCGGGCATGGATGCCCAGTTAGTGCATGCATAAGTGCCCCATTCATTCATGCCTGAGCACCCACTTTGCTCACGCAGGAGCACCCACTGCACACACTTGGGTGCCCAATTTCCCTTCATCTGGGCACTGTGCTGAGCATCCACAGCAGGTTTAGGCAGCTCTGAATCTGGATGGGAGCACCAGCTTGGGGTGGTGTGCTGGCTCCCCCAGGCTGGGATTCCCAGAGACATGTGGGGACCCTGTGAAGGAACCACAGTGGGTCCCTGAGGGAAATAAATCTGCAGGTCTGACCCTGCCGTGAGTCGGTGGATGATGCTGGACCAGTTGCCTGTGGATTACTGTTGCAAGAAGAGCTACTTTGTGCCTGGAAGGAAATAATTATCTGTTTTCCCTGATAGGGCCCATGGTCCTGCAGGATCAAGGCGCAGATGTAGTGGCTGGAGAGAGGGAGGACACGTGGGGACTTGATGGAGACTCCTCACTGGCTGCTGCGTGGGGATGGTGCTTGCTGAACCTTTAGCAGCCTAAGCCCACAGAAAGTCAGACCTGTGCAATGACTGTGCCCACATGGACCAGGCTGAGTGTGCATGGTCCTGCTCAGGATCTGCCCCTGTGTTTGCACAGATTGGGGAAAGAATGTCAGCACAAAAAAACCCAGTGCTGTGGGGCTGGAGCATCATGTCACCTCATGCATCCCACTGTGGCCAGGGGTCCCTGAACCATTTCAAGTCTGGCCACCTCTTGCTTTCCTTCCTGTTGTCCCATCCCCTCCGTGGTCCAGTGAGCAGCGAGCTCTGAGCAGCAGGGCAGTGGATGGGGATTTGCAGCCCCGGGTCCCCCTGCAAACACAAATTAACAGTCTTGAACACTGATTAACCAGAGCTGATTCTTGCTGCAGTGGCAGCTGGGTGGTGGGAGGAGAGGGGGCACGCGAAGGGCGGGTGGTGATGGAGCTGTCAGTCCTCGCCTGTGCCGCTGGGATTGATGGAGAGGTGGGGGGAGAAGGTTGGGGGGGCTTGGGTAGCTGGGAGGAGGGGGCTGGGGGTTGCTTCCAGGCTCTGCCCCCTCTGTGCTATGGGAGATGCGTGGCCAAAACCTTCCTCCCAGTGAGGTGGGAGTGGGGATGGACCAACCAGCGCTGCAAAGGGCAGAGAGTGGCTGTGGTTTGGCTGTGCAGGGCACCTCCTGAGCTGCTCTGGGTGCCTGTCCCTGTGCCCACTGCTTGCCATGAGAGCCCTGCGCTTGGCAATACCCTGTTCTTTGCTATGAGCAGCAAAAACAGCGATGCTGCTGCCCGGGCCGGTGTCTGCGGTGCGTAGCTGGAGCTCCCGGCTCAGTGATGCCTTTCCAGCCTTGTGGTTCATAACGAATGCTAATACCCTGCCTTTATTTAGTGCCTTTCATCCCCAAGGATCCAGGGGCATGCTGCTACTAACAATCTGCTACGTGTGCTATTTATAGCCCTCCCCATGGCGGCTGCGGGAATGGTGATCCCTGGAGCATGGCATGGCAGCTGAGCCCAGCTGCAACTCAGCTGGGGCATGTGAGGGAACCAGCCCTGCCCTGGTGGGATGCTGCAGTGGGGCTGCTGTGGGTCATCCCCTTGTCTTTGGGCATTGGGGGCACACCTGGCTGAGGTTTATGTCACTGCAAATCGATGTACATGGGCTCAGCATCACGCCGTAATTGATGCTGGGGGAGGGAGATGCAGCAGCTGCTGCTGCACAGGTACTTTTTGTGAGCTCAACTGGGCTCTGCTTGCCAGGGAGCTGCAGGGCATGGATCAGAGAGAGCAGAGATACAGCTCTGCCCCTGCATGTCTCCCGTGTCCCCAGCCCCAGGACAGGTGGCTCAGTGGTGTGTCCCCAAGGTTTCCATGGCTGTAGGTCCCTGCTGCAGGGTTGGGCATTAGCATCCCTAGTTAGTGCCACTCAGAGTGTTGGCACCCAGCAAGGTCAGAGTGGATGAGAAGTGGTTGCCATGAAGTCTTCATCTGTCCTGGACCTGTGATGGCAGATAGAGAGGCAAGTACCACTCAGCCCCAGCTCACCCAGCTGCATCTATGCTGGGCTCAGGGCTGGGGTGTTTCCCTGCACTGCCAACACTCTGTCCCCGGGGAGAGGGTAGATTTGGTGGCATTGGAGGGATGCACCCAGGGGTAGGTGGTTTTCCAAGGGCTGGGAGATGATTCCATGCTCCCACCCTGGGACAAACCCTACAGCTGCCTCCGCAGCTGATGCTGGAGGACAGGCACTAGTGCCAGCGTGCTGGAGGAGGGATGGGGCTCTGTATGGCTCCATTCCAGGATGCACATTAGCAAATCCCTCCTCGGGAGCCTCGTGCTGGTTTTAAGGCTGGTACCTGAATGGTTCCCTCCGTCGGAAAAGCCTCTCCTGGGAGCATCACACATCCCTCCTGCGGCACGAGGGGAGCTGGCTCCGTCCCTCCCTCCCGACTCAGCCCGAGCGTGTCATTACCAGCATTTCTCCTGTACTAAAAAAAGCACAAATTTCTTAATTGTTTCCTGCTGGAGTTGAAAGGCAGATCCCGGGCCCAAAATAGCACATTGGGGGAAACGCAGTCAAATGAGAGAGAGAGAGCAGAAGGTGATTTTCCTGGAGGGGCTGAGCTGAGTCCTGACTGCAGCTCCAAGCTGCTGCTGTGACCCCTTTCTCCTGCCCTGGGGGCTGCCTGAAGTCCTGCTGCTCATCCTTCTCCTCATTCCATGGGGCATCCCCTGGGCATCCTCGGGGTGGGAGTCGTGCCTGGTGTCTTGATGCTTGTGGGGAGTGCGTGCAGGGGAAGCCTGTAACTGCTAGAGATGTCACTCAGCATCTCTCTTTTGGAGGGATGCTTCCAACCCTTCTGTTTTTTGGGATCAGATAATCCCATAGGGCTGGCATGACTGTTGTTTTAACCCACCCCAGCTCAGCTGCTGGATGCAGCATGTCCTTCCTGGCTCCCTCCTACCAGGAGACCTCTGTCCTTTCCCCTGTCTGCTCTTCTGCCAAAACAAACAACCCTTCAAATCCCTCCTGCAGCACAGCCAAAGCCTTTGGTGTCCTTCAGCCCAAGTGCTGAGCATCCCTGTGCCTGTCTCCCCTCTGCTGGGGTGCTGCTGTTCAGACACCCCATGGTGGTACTGTGAGGGCTGCTGCCCTTTTCTGACTCCCTGGGGAGACAGGGGTCACCCTTCCTGGAGGGAATTGCAAGCTCTGTCCCTCCAGCTGGGATGGAGGGACCCCCCAATGCATGGGGACAGCCTTGGGCAAAGCAATTCTTGCTCAATTCCTTGCTGGTGGTAAGGTATGTGCCCTCCTGCTGCCTCCTGCCAACCCTCACCCCTTCACTCTGCACCTTCTGCCAGGCACGTTACAAATCCTCCCTATGGGAAATTGCTTGCTTTTTTTTTTTTTCCTCTTTTTCCATTCAAGGTAATTGGCATCTGTTGATGTGTCTTGGGTCTCTATTTTTATCAGCCGTTTGCACATTGACATCTCCGCTCGCCTCATTATCCCCGAGCAGTACAGACCTGTGGCTTTTGTATCATTATTTAGATGCACGATGCAAAGGAAATGACTAATGAGGCTGTTCCCCCACCCCTGTGCCCACCCGCTGGCACTGGGCTCCCTGCTGGCATTCCAGCTAGGCTCCAGTCCTGCAATGGGACGTGCAGGGATGGGCACCAGCCCCTGCCCACCAGGCTGCCCAACATCCTGCATTCCCTCAGAGCCTTTCCTCTGCTCAGGACATTTGACATGTCAGCATCTGTCCCTGGACTTGGAGTTGCTAACACTTGCTTGTACATTTTGGAGGTTTCTCCAGAATCTGGTGAAGTTTCCCAGGGCTCTGTGATGGATTTGATGATGTTTCTCCACGTGGTTCAGAGGCAGCTTGTACCTGGGGGGATGCCAGCCCTGGGGTTGTGCCCATGCCCACATTCAGTATGTTATCCAGGCCAGGCACGTGTCTTCCCTGAGCCACCTCCAGGCAGATATTTTGGCAGATATTTTCAGGGATGTTTTAGCTCTGGGGAAGGCAAGGCCACATCCTCCCCAAGCATGAACCAACCTTCATGGTCCATAGCATCTTGCAGTGATGGTGTTGCACTCCTCTGGCAGGGAGCAAAACTTCTTGTGAGGCTCCCTGTTTTTTGAGGCTGGAGGGTCCCCAGCACCTGCAGCACTAGTCCATTGACCACCTGGGCTGGCCCAGGCTGTGCCTCAAAAGCAGCTCCTGGCACATGAGGAACACGTGGCAGTGTGTGGAGCGAGTGAGCTCTGGAGCATCCCCCTGAAGAAGTCTCTGATGGGAACCCCAGGACATCCCCCCATGGAAATCACTGATGGGAAGTGCAGAGGAACAGCTGTCACTGCAAAAGCACTAAATTCTGTCTCTTTTCTCCTGTTTTCTCTTGCAGTCACGGAGAAGGAGGTGCAGCAGTGGTGAGTGTCCCACACGGTGGTGAGCTGCTGGGGCATGGAGCTGGTGGCACTCTGGCTGGGCAGAGTGCAGGGGGTGTGGGCAGGTGCATCTGTATTGGGTTGCAGGTGTTGCCTCACAAATGAGGAGACCAGAATATAGAGGATCTTTTCTTGCACACCTCATGCATGGTGGGGCTTGACTGCTGTGGCTGATGGGTAGCTGAAGGGAGTGGGGCCATGGGGACTGTCCAGCTGGTGGTCAGGGCCAGGCCAGAGCTGTCCCAGCATGTCCCTTTGCTGCAAGGCCTGTAGAGGCTGTCAGGGGTAAAATCCATAGTTTCCTTCTGGCAACACACTCTCACCCCGTCCCCTCCACCCCACCGAACACATCGCCCTAGAAAAGCCACCGCTTCCCTTTCATCTCCCTATCCCACCAGTCAAGGTTTGCTTTCTTTATCTCTTTCTCTCATCCTTCCCCCCCACCCCGATGACTCATAGCTGCAGCAGTGTGAAAAAGATGTCACTGGCACTTCGGTTTCCCACCTCACCACCCCCTTCCCCTCCTCCTCCAGCCCTCGTCCCGCTGCAGCGAGTGCCTGACAGATCTGGGCGATGTGTTGCATAATATTCACGTACCCCACGTGGTCCCTGTGTGGTCCCCACATGCTCCCTGCGTGGTCCCTGCACCCACGGAGCCTGCACCCCCCAGGCTGACAGTTTCCAGCATCCAGGTCCAGCCTGGAGCTGGGCCAAGGGGTTTTTGGGGTGTTTAAGCATTGATGGGGTTTGGAGACACCCTGGGCTGTGCCACCTGAGGACACAGTAACCCCACTGTGCCCCCCAGCTCCTCCAAGCAGCTTTCACTTGAGGTTGTGCAAAACACTATCACAGAATCATGGAATGTCCTGAGTTGGAATGGATCCACAAGGATCATCGAAATCCACCTCCTGGTCCTGCACAGGAGAACCCCAAGAATGCCACCATGTGACTGAGAGCATTGTCCAAGTGCTCCCTGAGCTCTGGCAGTTTTGGAGCCATGACCACCTCCCTGGGGAGCTGTTCCAGTGCCTGACCACCTTGTGGAACCTCAGCTGCCACCACGCTGTTGGTTTTCACCAGGGAATGGGGCAGCATATGTTTGCTGTCATTCCTGGCTGGACAGAGGGTCCCTGTCCCCTCCTAGCTCCTGGAAAATGTCCAACATGAGCCTGTTTGTGGTGTGATTGCCACTTCTGGGCTGGTGGTGGGTTGGAGCAGTGTGGTGGGCACTGCTTGGTGTCCCTGCTGCCACCCTCTCTGCTGTGCCTGCAGGAACCTCATCCCACAGGGCTGGGAGGCTCTGGGTGGGTGATGGGAGTGATGTGAGAAGCACCTGGGAACCTTCCCAGCTCCAGCCCACTGCAGCACTGGGGAGAGCCTCATCCCAGCTCCCCAGGGGACCCTCCTGGTGCTCATGCTCTGCCCTCCCTCTGCAGGTACAAGGGCTTTATCAAGGACTGCCCCAGTGGGCAGCTCGACGCTGCTGGCTTCCAGAAGATCTACAAGCAGTTCTTCCCCTTTGGTGACCCAACCAAATTCGCCACCTTTGTTTTCAATGTCTTCGATGAGAACAAAGTAAGCCCAGGAGCTGGAAGCACAACCTGTGGGGGTCAGGGCTGGGCCCACGGCGATGGTGGGATGGGTTTGGTTTGCGGCTGCGCAGCACTGAAGGAGGAAAATATTCCAGTGCTTCCTGGGGCATGAAATTGAAGCAGCACAGCTGGAGCGAGCGAGTCCCCGTGCTTATTTTAGTCAGGGAGAGTCACGTGGGAAAAGGAGATGAAGTGGCAAAGCGAAAGAAGAGGAATGTGATGTTTTGGTGCTGCTGACAAAAACTCACCCGTGCCGTGCCCCACCACATTCCAGAGCTGCTCCCACTGGGATGTTTGCTGTCAGGCTGGGCACCAGTGGCTGGGTCATGCTGCTGGAGATAAATGTGCATCACTCCTCCCCCCACATCTGGATATGCCCCCTCAGAGGGAATGCATGGGCAGGGAGGACTTTGCTGGGCAGGGCTGGCAGCAGCACCCTGACCTCCTCCTTCCTTCCCCCAGGATGGGAGGATCGAGTTTTCGGAGTTCATCCAGGCACTGTCAGTCACCTCCCGGGGGACGCTGGACGAGAAGCTGAGGTGTAAGTGCTCCCCATGGGATGCTGGTGGGCACAGCCCCATGAGAGTGCTGGGGGTGGCATGGGAGGGTGATGGGTGTGTGTGTGTGGTGCTGGGGCTGCAGTCCTAGCACCTTGGCATTGCTCTGGCTTGCAGGGGCATTTAAGCTATACGACTTGGACAACGACGGGTACATCACGAGGAATGAGATGCTGGACATTGTGGATGCGATTTATCAGATGGTGGTAAGTGGTGGGCAGGGGGGCATGGGGTGAGCAGCCCCTGGGGGTCCCCTCTGGGCTGGAGCCTGGCTCCCTGGGAGTGCTGAAACACCCCCAGTTCCCTCTTTGGCCTTTTTTGGTAGGGGCTTGTAGTCACCATGACCATCATGGCCCGGGCAGGGTCTGGATCTGGCTGCTGAGGGTGATTCTGGTGCCAGCACCATCCCTTTGCACCCTGTCCTGGTGTGGGGCATGTTGGGGGACAAAACACATGTCATTGCCTGGGGACACTGTCCAGGCAAGGCATAGGTGGGTGTGTGACAGAGTCCTGTCCTGCTGCTGCAGGGAAACACAGTGGAGCTTCCTGAGGAGGAGAACACACCAGAGAAGAGGGTGGATCGGATTTTTGCCATGATGGACAAGGTGAGGATGCTTGAGGGTTTTGTTGCCTGGGGCCAGGGATTTAACAGGTGCTGTGGGCCTCCTTGTTGCATCTCAGCTCTTGCAGGTGCCTCCTTCCCTGCCAATACAAGGTCTCAGCTCCTACCAGGATTGCTGTGGGACCCCCACATCCCTCCAGGATCCCTGTATTCATTTCAGGGTCCCCAGGGTGGCATTGCCCCCTCCATGGCACTCCTCCCTGACTGCAGGTGTGGGTGGTGTGGTGGGGAAACTGGAGTGGTGCTGGTGTGGGATGGTCTGGGTGTTGCTGAGGTCCTGGGGTACTCTGTGCTAGGGTACTCAGTGCTGGGGTGCTCTGTGCCAGGGTGCTTGGTGCCAGGGTGTTCAGAATTTCCCTTGCCAGGGCAGAGTAGTGGTGTAACAGGAGTGTTTTTCAGAATGCAGATGGGAAGCTGACGCTGCAGGAATTCCAGGAGGGCTCCAAGGCTGACCCCTCCATCGTGCAGGCTCTCTCCCTCTACGACGGGCTCGTATAGTCCCGGGGCCGAGCGGCGGTGAGTGCAGTGCTGGGGGCAGGGGGTGCCTCTTCTCCCACCTGCCTGGTGCCATTCCCACCTTCCCCACGTGCAGGCAGCTGGTTCAGCTCTGCTGAAGCATCAAAACATGGGCAGCCTCCCAAATCCAGGTGTGGGAGGATGTTGCTCCTATTCTGCTGGAGTTTTCCCAGTCCCCCCCATCCTACAGAGCACCCCTAGATCACATACAGTGAAGATAGCAGTGTTTGCCTGTGGCACAGCTCACACTGTCTCCAGCAGAAGTGGCTGCAGAGGAGGGTGGGAGATGTGCTGGGGGCACAGGGATGCTCTGGGGAGATATTATATCTTCTTACATTGCAGCCTGGAGCTGGTTTGGCGTGGTGGTGTCAGTGATGCTGTGGTTCACAGCATCCCACAGGTGCTGGGCTGAGCACCCTGTGGTTGCTATACTCTGTGGGGCCATGCAGAGATGTCTCTCTGAGTCATGTTGATCATCACGTTCCAGGCAGTGTCCAGCCATGGGGGGGGTGGGATGTTTTTTAACCCCACTGGAGTATTGAGCTTTTCAAAATCTCTATTGTGTTTCCAGCTTTGCCCTTCCAGCTGCTTCTGACCACAGGGATTTCTGCCCATCCTTCTCATACCATTTCCCTTCTCCCCCCACTCTCCTGCAGATGCCTGGGGGAAGATGCTCTCCGTGCCATCCGACCACCGCCGCGCCAAGCTTGCCTGTCCCTCTCGGCCTTCCTTTCTGTTCTGCGAGCAAAGGATGCCCTCGAAGCGCGAGCTCACTCCCCCTCTCTGCA